AATTAAACAAAAATATTTGTTTTTATTAAATTTAAAAATTACAATAAACAGCCTAAACAAAAAAATAAATTTATAAAAAATAAAAATAAAATAAAAATTAGAAAATAAAAAAACTTTTCCTGCACCAGGATTTGAACCTGGGACCTCAGGCTTACCACGCGAGTGCTTTGCTCTGTCGGCCATTGTGACTGCTGGAGCGTCGCGAGCAAAAAGGCACACTTATGCTTTTCACGGGGCACGAATTGGCAGACTATCTCATCAATTGGTATGATGCTACTAGTATTTATACTAGTAGATGCTGATGCATAGCCTGACAATTGACATCTCGTAGGACATCGTATTGTTAAAAATACCAGTCGCTAACATTCAAAAAGGATAGAACGTGAACTAGTTGGGCTGAAACGCAAACCGGTAGAATTCTAGTTCACAACTAGTAGCTTTCCCTGCAGGGAATCATATATTAAGTACATTGAGAAGATGACAATAAGAGATAATAACGGCTGTCAGTATGTCAAACTTAAGACGTCTACTGCTACGGTGCAATGTAAGTTCTAAAAATTTGGAAAAGGTGCAAACTACCGACTCTTGGACATGATATACATAGCTTTGAATGTGAATGTTGTATTTAACAAGCATACCAACTAAATATGATTTAAATTTGTAGCTTAAAATATGCAAACAGATTCTGACTCGAGCTCGTCTTCTACTGAAACTGAATGGGCTACAAATTTTTTTTGAATTTCCTCAATTTTCATAAGTTTTCTAGAAAGTTTGAGACTTCAACACACTTGTCTTTTGTTATAGAATTAACTAATAATAATAATAATAGATTGGTGCGTACACATATGCTAGTGTTTGGCCGATCTTCTCCTCCGATTTGTGGCGTGCGCCTTGATGTTGTCACACAAAGCGGAGGGACCTACAGTTTTACGCCGACTCCGAACAGCATAAATCATTAGTTCATAACAAAAGGCGAAGGCGGAATGGTGATATATTCCCTCAAAAGGACCCAAAGTTGTTATTTGAATTTCCAAGTCTTAGACTTGAAACGAAAAACTATTGAAGCTTGGGAAGAAATGAAGGCTGTTTATCCAAAACTTTACCCTTTACTTAACTTAAACAAAAAACAAAAATAATCGAAAAAAATTGATCAATCGATTAATATTTTGTAAGTAATTGCCTTGCAATTAATCATTTGGTACAGCAATCGAGTCAAATAATTTTACCATCCATAGTCTCTGTATTTGCCTATAATAGCTCCAGTTGAAGTTTTTCAAATGATGAAGTTTCGTTGTTGCCTTTAGTTTCATCATTTTCGCTGTTGGTTGAAGGAAACCGAGAAGATACCATTACTATGATCTCAAAAATCATGTCATTAGTTAAATAAAATGTTCCTTAATACACAATTTTAATTTGTATTTAAATAACTCGAAAAATAGAACAAATGTATAGTTTTTATTAAAATAACAAAACGAAAAGTTATTGGTAGATATTTTCCAGATTCATTTTTTTTTTCTGGACAGTAATTATTTTTTTTTCGTCAGTAACAATCCAGCCCAGCGCACTTATGGCCCTGATATTCGCATGGCTATAAGAATAAATGCTCAGCTTTCTAACAGTCATCGCACTCCGAGCAGCGAATCCACTTCATCATTAATACCAGCCATTGCTGCCTGAAATACACTACATACAGCATTTCAGAAGCCTAAATTTAGTGTTGATGGAAAGCGCTCACTAGAAGACTTCTCTGCCAACCCTGCCGTGCAGTTTCGATACATCCGTGAAGAAGTTCACTGCTCCCCTCTTCGGAACTTCCAACCCATCCAATCCTACCTTGCGCAAAAGTGGGCAGTGGATCCAAGGATCCATTGGGTGGTGCCGTAATCCATGCGATCAGGAAAGAAATCGAATTCCTCCAGAACTCCAGAATGTCCAGACCTCACAATTGGGTGCAAGGCGGTTTCTGCCGACCTTCCATAGGCAATCTCGAGAAATTCGGTAACTTGTTTAAATTTTTGCTCGCTAACCTTAATTCGCCAGTTTGCTAGCCATTTGGCCACAACTTCCATATGATTACCTAGGAACGCAGTTGCTTGCAGGGGATACTTGTAGTGGCTTTTTACTGCGTTGTCATCGGCAAATGTGCACATTGTCAGGCGGTCGTTTGTGGGAAATATCCGGGGTGTATAATACATACAGCGTAGGGCTAAAATCACTACCATGAACGAACGAATAAAGATCACCCAGCACAGCGTGCGAGAAAAAAGTTATTTTTTTGCAGTGACGTCATTTTTTCGCCGCCATGTGAATGAAACGGAATGAAACCTGTGTGTGAATGAAAGAACCGATTAAAAAATTACGTCATCAACTATTATTTTTTTTCTCAAATGCTATTACAAATACACGGTTGCCGTGCTGGGTGATCTTGTTAGTTGGATCATGATGGTACTCCAGCTACAATTGCATGGGCTTCAGAGATGGTGGTGTTATATCAAACTGCAAGCTTTCGATCAAATAGATAGGAATTTAGCAGTTTGTGGATGCTTTTTCATATATATTTAAGAGTCGATAAAATACCTGTTCGACGTCCAGGTGCAGCGCAATATTCCCTCTTTTCAAACACTGATCGAATATCGGATGTGATGTTATTTACCTGTTCGATGATTCCATGTTTTGCACTGAGGTGGTATTATGCTATGGGCTTGCAGATGTGCGTAAATGCGCGGATAAGAAATCTTTCGAATAATTTTGACATGCACGAAGGCAGACTGAAAGGCCTATTTATAGTAGTATGGCTGCGTTTTGTTCTTGCCGGGCTTTGGTATCAATACAATAGTTTACTTTTCCCCTGTCGAGGGAAATAACAATGTTTTTTGATTGCATTAACTTGCATACAGAGTCAAAGTAAAGCCCAACTTTTTAGCTCAATAATCATTTTTGGATATTGATTGGTTTAAGTTGCGTCTTAATTCCTTTTAAAATTTTTTCCGACTTAAGTTTCAGCGGTTCATATTGCGACACCTGGGGTACCGGTGGTAGTGTAGTTAAAGCCATTAGTTGCCGCGTTTGGCCTGAAAACATTTTGTAGATGGGCAGCATAGGTGTTTGCTTTTTCTGCGCCACTCTAAACCCATTTGCTGCTCGTAGTCACTTCGAGTTACACATACGCGTTCTACAAGTAAGTTTTAGAGTAATAACAGTTGGAATTTCGCCCGAGTTTTTCTACAAGCAGCTTGTAGAACAAACCTAATGCAAGGACGGATAAATATTGACATTTGTATTAATCGACTGCCGTGTGAGGTTGCATTTGAGAAGGAAAGATAAGCGGGTAATAATTTTATCCCCTTTTGTGAAAAGGTAGTAGGAAAATTAGTCTGGTAGTGCTGAAATACGTTTTTATATACAAATTGAATTCCACTGTTTCAATAGACAATGAAATAACTTTTTTATGGTATATTAAGCATGGTATATAGATATTAAAAATGAAGTAGATGAAGAATGAGAGAATTTTAGTCACACAAAAATCTGGCCAAAGAAAAATCTTATCGACAAATATTTCCAAATAATCAAAATAAACAATGGTTTCATTAAAATTGCAGTATGTAGTAAACAAAATTAATTGAATTCAAACAAATCCTTTATTCGAAGGGACTATATAAAGAAATATACAAATAGTAAAGATGCAATTGATATAATGTATATAAATTAATCCTTTAAAAGTTATATTTGTGGTATTTAAAAATTACATGTTCAATGTCTTAAATTTAATGATATTTGGTTTTTTAAAAATGTAAATTTTTGGTAATGTTTTCTACTATTTTCTCCAATCAGTCTTGTTAATCATTATATTGGTTACATTTAAAAGTTATATCTTCATTATTGTAATTTAATTATGTTTGGTTTTTTTAAATGTAAATTTTGGGTAATATTCTGTACATGAAAATACCCTGAACCAGCGAATGTGAACGGACACACAATGTGATCCTGACCTGCACAAGAAAAAATATTTATTAATATTACAATTTCACTTTTTTGGGGTAGTATACTTACTTGTAAGTATGCAACGGCTGCACTTGACCACATAAATCGCTGCAGCTGTAGATCCGATTGGACTGCACCAGCCAAACGTGGACGGGCACAGAGATCCTAGCACGCAAAACTTACTTGCAACGGCTGCACTTGCTGTAAAACGCTACTTTTTGAATAACTCCGATACTTTGCAAAGAAATATGTAAATTATTGTCTTAAGTCGAAATATTTCCGTTAATTTTGATTTTTTTGGCATATTTACTTGAATTTGGGCAATAAGGAAATCAATTTCCACGAAACAATCAATAAAAATATATGCAGTGTTGCCTGTTGAACTTTTCATACGAAAACAATATTTCTCCTTGTATTTTAGAAGTACTTGCGCTTATAATTATGACACGGGGTGTATATATGTACATATGTAAGTAAGTACATATAACTGCTACAAACGCGTAGATAATTGCTTTTCTCATATAAAAACAAAGCGAAATGTTATTGATTTCCTTAGTTTAATTTTAATCGTTAATGCCTATCCATATCAAAGCGGATAGCATTGATCTATTTACTAATACTGGAATCAAATCAAGAAAGTGTCAGGACAAAATATATATATAATTTTAAAACAGCAAAACTAATTCAGCAAGCTACATATAGTAAAACTGTAAAATGTATATTCGCTACGCGCTTTTGCCTTTGCTTATTTGTTCCGTTTGGCGAATTAGCAATGCGGATTTTCGTAAGTTTTCAAACCGAGTGGAATTTTAAGTGAAAAGTTATAAAAGTTATAAAAAAAAATTTTATTTGAAATGCATATGTATGTATTTTGTGTTACATGCAATAACGACACAACTCAAAATTCAAAAGAAAGAAGTCCTCACTACTGCTAAGTGTATCGTGTCTCCAATCCTTGTCTAATCCATGTCGAATCTTTACTGAAGTGAGTATTAAGAATTACTTAAGTAAGTGTTAAGGACTAATTGAGTAAGTAATACGGATTAGACAAGGTTTAGGATATGTGGCACTTAACAGTAGTAAGGACTTGTGTTGAATTTTTAGTTTTGAAGGACCAACGATATATAAGTTATATTTAAATTAAATCAGCCTTGAGTTTCAGCTGCAAAAAAATTCGCCGGCATTTTTTCCATCCGCCCGCAGGGTATACATAGAAAGGAAAATTTAAAATAACACTCATGATAAATAAGGCTGAATATCCATAAATTGTGTTGCGCTTTTGTCCATTGATATTAACATTGCACAATATGGCGGTTTATCTAATATACTATATATATATAACTGCTTTTGGTAAAATTACGTTAAGTTTATAATCATTGACTCCGTGAACCAAAAAGCTTGAGACGAATCCGAAAAACAGTTATGGAGACTTTGTGTTAAAATCACATCAATCATTTACTGGACGAAATTGGAAAAGTGTAATAACTCTATTTACATAAATAGGGGAAATCTAGATTGTTTGAGATAAAACATCAGGTATGGGTTTAATACAAGTTTAGGGTGTAATTTTTACCCAAAGTCGCCATAACGATTTTTTTCTGATTCTTCTCAAGCGCTTTGGCACATGGAGTCAAAGGTTATTAACTTTACGTAATTTTGCCAAAAGCATTGTAAGGACACAACGTTCCGCTTTTCAACGAACATAACCTTATCAAATTCCGTTGAAAATTGTCCAACTTATGACTGGTGTTTGGAACTAAATCCCGATTTTCAGTTTTCTAATCATAGCTTGGCGTATTTAAAATTCTGCTAGTGCCAAAATTATTTTTTGGCTCAGTTCTACCACCTCTACTACATATAACATGAAAAGTATATGGAACCATTTTTTTGCAGCACCGTGTTGCGTGTGAATTGTAAATTCGGGCATTGAGTAACGTACTTTGCTATTGAATTGCCGCCAGGAAATCGAAGTTCAACGAAACTAAAAGTTACCAAACTATGTAGGGATTCATATAAAAAAAATGCCAACGTATGGAAAGCGACCAAAATATGGCCACACTAGGAGAAATAAAATGGCACTGGCTTACTGGAAACGAGGTTGACTGCACTGTCTACATTGCGCTGGCTCATAAATATATTAGGATAATATACATAAGTATTCCGATCAGAGAGAAATCGGAACTAGGCATACCATGGACTGATACTGATATCAATAGGTATCAAATGAAATAGCTTGACCATTAGAACATAGGGTTTAAATGAGAGTAACCAGAAAAACAGAAATTGGAATGTCGTAACTTCGATCCAGGGATGTGAACTCTATTAAAGCTAATTCCCCCAATGTCCTCAAAACATTCCCCTATTTCCAATGGTATTCGCTCAAGCTAACTTTTAATATTTAAGGCACTTCATTCTCATTTTTGCTAAAAAAAACAACAACAAATATCATTAATTATAATGAAGTAATAAGGACAGTCTTTATAATAATATATAAAACTGATACTTCTGAGTATATTTCATAAAGCATATCTATCTATGAATGTACTTACCTATATCGGGCATAGCTGAAATTTTTATAATTGTCTACAAGTCGCACGGAGATCAAAAGAGGTTTTATTTTAGTTTTGTTGTAAGTAAAATTGCTTCCAATGTATCTATGCCAAGCCCATTTCTGATTGCAGTGGTTTTTAATTAATTTCAGAAAAATTGTCTATGTACGTGTATGTAAATTGCTAAATACTCACTCTGATTAGACTGCTCAAAACTTTGCCAGAGGTCGGCTTGGCGGAGTGAAAAATCATAGTGTCAAATATGAACGTCAAATGAAAAGAGTCGTTATGCACGGTTGCAATTTCTTTACTATCCTCACAGTTATTACAAGTTATATTGTTCTAATAAAAATCATTTGTATATTTCCCGATACCCCCGTGAAATTCATTTTCCACCAAAATCGGGGAAATCTCTCCTTCTTGGCATCACTGCGCCGATCACATGTCAAGCCTTATTGAAGTTGGAAGTTGACCAGTATCTAGTATCCGTACGGTAGCCACTAGAATAGACGCATCTCTCGGGGTATGCTTTTCCACATAGCATTTAGGCGAGGGGCCAGCTGGCATAAGTCCAGTCACTTAACCAGAGGTAAGAGCCATAGGATTTTACCAGTCGCTACGAGCTCGGTGGGTGTAGACATGTTTTTGGTTATAGGCAAAAGTCAGGAAGACCACACGGAAACCAACAATCTGATGCACAAATCATTTCGATTTTATCTACAACTACATAAATACCATAGGCGGCCGAGTGGTGTAGTGGTAAGGAGTGCGCGCTTCCACGCCGCAGCGCCTGCGTTCAAGCCCCGGCCAAAGCAACATCGCTAATAATTTTTGAAAAAAGGTTTTTTCTTAACAGCGGTCTCCCCTCGGCAGGCAATAGCAATCCTCCGAGTGTATTTTTGCTATTAAAAACAGCTTCTCATAAAAATACAATCGCCGTTCGGAGTCGGCGTAAGACTGTAGGTCCCTCCACTTTGTGTGAAAATATCAAGGCGCACACCACAAATCGGAGGAGAAGCTCAGCCAAACACGAACATATGTGTAACCGCCAATCTATTATTACATAAGTACCTATTTCATAAGCGCGTTTAGTCCTCCATACTAATTTTAATCATAGATAAATAAATAAATATATACACTTCAAAGAAACACTGCTACTCATAAACTACTAAAAAATAATACACACTCTTTCATTTTATTATTTACAGCCGACGATCCGAAGCCATGTAAATTTGGAGATGACGAATGTTTACTGAAAGCTGTAAATTTTTATTTGAGTGACAAAAATCAAGGTATAAAAGATCATAAAGAATTAGAAAATTTAAAACTGCGAAGAACTCGAAACTTCAACTAAACGGCCAAAACTTGGATGAAATATTTGGCGAGTTTCAAACTTTTCAGTTAGTAATTCGTGTTTAAGGAAACTTGAAAACTCTCATAGAAACTTTTTATGAGTCAATATCAAGATTTTCGAGGTTTTGAAACGTTTTTTAGTATATAATTAATAATCTACGTATGTACATTAGGGTGGCTCAAAACGAAAAATAACAAATTTTAGGAATTTTCTTGCTGCCACCCCGCAGAATTATAGAAAAAAAAAAATAAAGCCGTACCTTTTTGTAATTTGTTAACATTTAATTGTGCCGCCGGGGATTTGAAATTTTACATGGAGAAAATAAATTTTTTCAGAGATTATTCTAACTGTTACTTTTTAATGACTATTTACTAGGCTTTACTTTCGGAGTTTTATTGGTTGCTCTGAAAATAACCGTTACTTCGTGAGTGTTATATTTTGTTGAGAAATACAAGTTTTTTCGAGTTGTATGTTTATTTTTAAAATTTCCCTTTTTGCTTAGAAAATAAAACTTAAATCTTGCCTTTTTATTTTTTGCGTCGAAAGCAAAAGTAGTTTCTGGTGTTTTCCTTAAGGGGCGGTAGTGAACTGAAAATAGTCAAATAAATATCATGAAAACTAAATATGTGACAATATTGAGATAAAGGACTAATACTAAGATTAAGGCAAATCCAAAGACAAAGACGATTACGATTACGACAGCGTAGCCGTAAAAGACAACGAATACGAAAGAGGTTACATAGACGAACACGAAGGAGAACATGCGGACGAAGGATATCACGAAGAAGAACACGAGACGAGGGTAAAGACAAATAAAAAGACGATGACGAACACGAAGACGAATGCGAATACGGATATGGCGACGAAAGCGTAAGGCGTACAATACGAAAACGCATACGAAGAGGAATACGAAGACCAAGACTAAAAGGAAGACCGACCCGGAAACGAAGATGACGATTTAAAAGCTAAATATGAACACGAACGAACACGGAGGCGTATGGGACGACGAATACGAGCACGTAGACGAATACGAACACATAGACGAATACGAATGGCGACTGTTATTGCAATTACAATCACGATTACCATCATCATTATCATTTACTTTTGCATTACCAATAACACTACCAAACATATTACCATTACCAAAACGTTTACCATTACCATTTCCATTGTCATTACCTTTACCGTTGCCGTTACTTACATATATCAATACCGTTGCCAATACCATTATCATTAACATTACTATTAGCATTACAATTACCATTAAAATAACCATTACCCATGTCATTACCATTAGCACAGCTATTATCATTAACTTTGCCATTACCATTAGCATAACTATTGCCATTGTCCTTACCATTACCATTTCCATTCTCTTTATTTTTATCTTTATATTTATTTTATCTTTAACATTCGCACGACAAAAAAAATGCACACACACATTAAGTTTAATTTTCTAAGCAAATAATAAATCTCATTCAATAAATAAGAAAAACTCGAGAAATAACGACCATTTTTCAACCATCATAATTTAATTTTTTTTTAAGATTTCTGAAGGGAAACATTTGGTGTTTTCGATTCTTAAAAAAATGTTGCCTTTCCCCGGTGCAAAATATGTTTGATGTTTCACTCGACCCTGTCAAAGCTTCGAAGGGCGGACTATGTGCCTTTTTTGCCTTAAAATAATGTGAGATTTTAAGAAATGAACATAGAATTTTCTTTATTTTAGAATTGAGCACAAAAAGTAACGAAATCAACATTAATCGTTTAAAAAATAGTTGTTTTTAACGCTTTAATTTGTATGATAAATACAATAAAAAATACGAGTCTCCTTATTTTCGACTTAGTTCAGTTCTGGGGGTTGAGTAGAAGAAAATTTCGTCCACCCTAATGTACTACATACTCAATTTTGGCATTATTTAAAAAGGTGACTCAGCAATTAATTTGCTTAAAATTGATCCACTCGATGCTGGCACATTTACACTCAAGCAAGGAGCGGACAATCCTGTGAATATTGACCTAACATTTATCAAAAACAAAATCACCGGCGTTGCCCATGCTCAGGCATACAAAGTTAGGTAAGGAATTTAGAACAAATTAAGTTTACATTTATCTATAAAACATATTTACATAGCACTACAAAACTTAAACATTTATATACACTAGGGCGGCTACATTTTTTTGACTATGCGCGTATAGCATAGGAGAGTTCTACGTGCAATTCTAAGCAAATTTTCAGAAAAATTTTGACTTTGCCAAATTGCGAAAATAGGTTCGATTAAAATATTCACTGTTGCGCCCTATGGTGGAAGTTTTAAGAAAAATATGCAAAAATGGATTCCTCATACCAAAATATCTCTTATAGCATGTTTTTATACAAACTTTAAACGCTTTTTTACGACACTACAGCAAAATGCTAAGAAACCTATTTTCGCAATTGGCGAGCTCCAAATTGGATTTAGACCCATGGTTTCTTCGGCAAATTTGCTTAGAATTACACGTAGGCTCATCCTATGTCAAACGCACATAGTCGAGGAAATCTCCCATACAATTTGATCCGCCCTAATATACATATTTATGTACGTATTTTTTTCTTTTTATCTCTCCAGAGGCTTTGGCAAAGATTTAGCCAAGAAACATGAGCTGCGTTTCAAAGTGCCCGTAGCTAGCTTGATCGGTGACTACAAGATTCAAGGACGCGTTTTAATTTTACCAATAAGTGGTTCGGGCAAAAATAATATTACCATGTGTAAGTGGAAATTAGTTTATTTGTGTTCAATTAAAATTTAGATTTACTAATCTCTGCTTGTGCATGAATTCTTCTATTATTTCAGTGAATGCGGATTTCGTACTCCAGTGGGTGGGTGTGCCCGTGGAAAAGGATGGAGCAACCTATATGAAAACGGACAAATTTAGGGCAATCGTTAAGCCCAATAAAGTGATTTTCGATTTCCAAAATCTTTTCAACGGCGACAAAGCGCTGGGTGATAATATGAATTTGTTTTTAAATGAAAATTGGAAAGAAATCTATCAGGAAGTTGAAGCAACATTTTCGAAAGAAATATCTCGATTGATGGGAAATGTTGTCGATGCAGTTTTCTCTAAAACGCCATATAATAAATTATTTACGGAATAAATACAAAATAAATAAAAAAACAAAGCAAATATTTCAAGGACAAATAAGAGTGTGTAGTAATTAACTTATCTTATTTATAAGAAAGCAAAATTTCAAATTTTGTCCGTGCTTTCAATAGACAAATTTCTCATGATCTCCACAGAATTAGTGAAAACATGATTTATTTTAATCGTTGTGAAATTTCACAGGACTTAACATTTGGGCGTTTCCATAAAAATGTAAACCGAAAATGAACTCAAACTGCTTTATAACTTTAAACTTTGTATTTAGATGGCGAAAATAGATTGTGACAACGCGACGCGATGAAGAGAATAACTGAGAAAATTGAATAGAAAATTAAATTATATACATATGTATTACTAGTAAAAATATTGTATGCGGAAAAAATCGGTCACATCCGCTATTTCACGTCCGTTCAAAATGAACCAACAACGAATTTCTTCTGATTAAAAATGAATTGGTTGTAAAGGATTAAGAAAATATATAAATATATGTATATGTATTAGGGTTGTTCACCAAAAACGTTGCCGTGCTTCCACCGGAATTATATAAATTATTATAGTTTCAGACTTCTGGCAAAATATTTCGGAAAAATTAAGATTTACATGAGCTGGACCGATTTTATAATTTAAATTATTTTTTTGCTCTTCTATCACCTCACGAGATTTTTTGGAAATTAAATTTTCAAAAATTAATATTTTTTATATATAAACAGGTAAAAAAGTCTAAGTTCGGGCGAGCCAAATATTAAATACTCGGCGCACGTATTAAATAAATATACTTTTTCAACTTGCCGAAAACAGCAGTGGTTTTACCCCTATTTCAAACATTTTCGATAGTGTGTTCAGTTAAGCAGGGATCACAGTCCGATTTTTTACCAAGCCCAACAGCTGTGCACATTTTTTTTTTTTAATTAATAATATTCTGATTTTCTGCCCAAAGATAATTGCAAATATCAATTTCGAGTGAATAAGCTTCAGTTACTAAAATATCACAGTTTTTGTACTTCTGAAGACTACCGTTACATAGGAGTTAGGCGTGGTTATTGTCCGATTTTGTTTTGATTTTCAATACCATCCATCCATTGCAACTTTTAGTCGAGTTATCGCGTGCACAAGCTGACGGACGTGCGGACAGACAATCACGGTCTAATTAATTTCATTCTGAACATTTAAGTATGCGTTTGTCCATATCAGAGGTTCCCAAACTTTTTTCTCGCGCACCCTTTTCAAAACTTTACTGGTTTCGGTGGTCCCCCTGCTACTACATTTCTAATATATTCCCAAATCTCCAAAAAATGTGAAAATTAGATCTAACAATGTAAATTTGCATCGCGGTTGAGTTCCAAACCACTATTCGGAGCGGCAAAAATAAAAACTAAATATTTTTCTTCGTGGTCTGTTTATTAAAACATGTGATTACACACTTGCAAGTTTTAAAAAATAGGGCTCGTAAAGCCATCAAAGTCATCTCTCGCTCTGAAAAGTTAAACTTTTTAAAAGCACTCTGAGCGCTAGCATTATTTACATTTTCTTCTCCATGAACTTCTTCATAAATTTACATGTGGCATATTTGTAAATAGCTTACTTGTGTGGATGGCATTATTTCTTGCTGGCAAGAAGCACAAAAAGTGTCCCATCCTCTGCAAGGCAGAATTGGTAAATGGAGTTGTCTTTTACGCCTATCACAGTCAGGCCTGTCACGTGCAGTGACCAGTCAGCAAACCAATAAGTTGTCTGAAGTCTCGTCAGCTCAG